GGTCTTTTCACCTGATCCTAGTTCGACCGGTAGAACTATGGATCCTTCAGCTTCAACGGTGTCCCCCGTGAAGCCTGAGAGAGGGGTTTTGAGGGGTTCAAGTTGTGTTCGACACAACCTGAGTTTTTGGAAGGTCTCCAGGTATAAGATGTTGACACTGCTGCCGGTGTCAACAAGTACCCGGGCGACATCCACCCCGTTAATGTCCATGGTGATGACCAATGGATCATTGTGATCTTCACCGGTAGGAGGGAGATCCCGGTCAGTAAAGACGATAGGCTCCCTCCTAGTATGTTTACGCCTGGGCGGTTCAGCACTTACTTCTCCCACGTAAATGCTCCGAACCCAATTCTTCCGCTGCGCGGCTGAATCTCCACCCTCGGGTCCGCCGAAGATCATGCCGATGTGTTCTTTTTCGGGGGCAGGTTGCCGCTCCCCTGGCCGGTTATTCCTCCGCCGGTCATTGTCCCGGTCATTCCCTGGGGCAGTTGGCCTAACCCACTGATGACTCTTCTCCTGGGCTTTCTGCAAGTAATCTTTGCCCAGCTCTCCACTGTCGATCATCTGCCGGATGACCCCTTTAACACTTTTGCATTCGGAGGTGTTATGGGAATCAGACCTGTGGTACGAACAATAGGTGCCCGACCACTGCCACCCTATTTGACCGGTAGGGTTTTCTGGAGGAATGACCGGTGCTTTCCGGACTTTTTGGCATTCTTCCGTATTGACCACTCGGATGACCGGGTCATAGTGGTGCCTCGGCCGGCTAGGTCCCGGTGCCTCTTCCTTCTTGACTTGCACCGGCTTGGGCTTGTGACCATGTTCAGCTTCTCTCTTTGCCCGGAGCTGGGTTTCAGCTTCAGCAAACTCCCATGCAGTATGGTAGGCCTCTTGGTACGTGGCTGGGGGTTTCCGGCAGAACTCCTTGTATAGTTCCCCAGCATGCAATCCATTCAAGAGTAGGGAGAGGACGATCTTGTCATCCATCTCTTCCACCTTGTCTACCTCTTCCTTCCACCGGGTAAGGAACTGAGTGAGGTTCTCAGACTCCTGCCCGGCTGTACTAAGATAGGTGAACTTCTTCCTCTTAGTACAATTCTCTTGGAACTTGGCCTTGAATTTTGAGGCCAAATCACTGAACGAGTCAATGCTTCCCGGGCGAAGCTTATTGAACCATTCAGTGGCTCGGTTCCGCAAGGTCTGGAAGAAAAGTAGGCACTTTTCTTCATCGGTGCAACCGTTCATGGTC